GAAAAGAATTCGGCAATATTTTTATTATTAAATTTAATCAAATTCGGCAATAATTCAGCTGCCGAATGACATAATTTTGACTAGTGAAAGGTAGAAGAATGAGTTCTTTAACTGGAACATAATCTCTGTTGTTTCTCCACTATAGCTAAGAGGTGATAGATACTTCACTGTTGATTCTTTTTTCTTTAGAAATTTAGAAACTTTCTTGCCATTGGTAGTAAAGATGGGAACTGAACTTTGCAGGTCACAAGAATCCAGTTTGTTCAAAGGAGATTGTAAATAAGATAGAGGGAAGTTAAGGGAGTTATAAAAGAAACTCTTTAAGTTGGTTTAAAGAAAGTGATAAAACTCTTTTCACATAGAAGTATCAAAACTTCTTGCAAATATCTTTTTTGTGTGTGATTAGAGGATTAGCAGAAAGAGTTGCTAAAACTAGTATTATTTAATTTACAGTATATTATTAAAACAGCGAATAATTATTATCAAATCATGTGTTTTATATGAGTATATTATATTTAATAAATTACACAAGCCGATGTTATTAGCACTAAACAGTAAGATAAAAATACAACTGACTGATCAAATATTACACATGTATTTTCGAAATTAAAGTCCAAAGTATATTTGTCTTTATCCAGAGTATAGTGTATGTAGATATATTCAAGATTTACGTGACGATACAAGATTCTATGTCGCAAGCTGAAGTTCCGCGAATTTTTCAGCGACCCTTAATGCGTCATCAACCTTATCAACATTATTTCCACTACCTTGAGCGGCATCCTCCTTGCCACCAGACTTGAAATGAATATAGTCATATTAATTAAAATTTTAGTGCGCAAGATTGTAAAAGCACGCACACATACCTTTCCACCAACACTTTCAGATACAACTTTGGCCCAATCATTGGCTTTTAATCCTTTCTCTATTAAAGGTTTTCCTACAATACAACTGTGAGAAACTCGGTTGGAACTTTCGTCAATAGTAAATAAATAAGTAGCTTTATCTTTTAAGTTAGTTTTAACGTGCGATATTGCACTCGCCATAGCCTATTGATTATTTAAGAACGTTTAAATCCGAATATCAAAAAAAAAAAAGAAAAAAAAAAAAGGAAAATAATAATGATACTTTTTGCGGTTTAACACACCTTAGTGTTTGAACCAACATCTACCAATTTTATCAAATATGGACTTTCCGGATTCTTTTCGAAATGGTTATTTATCAAATCGATAATCTACAAAGCGAAAAACAAGAGCGCCAAAAATTAAGAAAGAACATGGAAAGAGAGATCCCGAAAGTTTGTAGAACATGCCTCTTTTGCTTGAGCAGCTTTTTGGGCTCTATCGGCATCTATGAAAGCTTTCTTGAGTTTCTCGTGATTTAACCGAAATTCAGCCTTTTTCAAAGCAGATATATTCGACGCGTCTAATTCTTTTAATATTTGTTTAAGTGCGGCATCTAACTCGACTCCCTTCAATTTCGAGATATTGTCAAAATTTATTTTGAACTCTTCTGCAAGTCGGTGAGCCTACAAATAGAAAACGGTTGGCAACGTGTCATTTAAAAATGAAACTCATTCTCCATCCCAAAATATGAATTATTTATAGAATAACCTGTTGAGCTTCTTCGCCAGTCACTGCAATAATTCTACGCGTCCCCTTGGCAATGCCGGACTCCTCTAGTATGACAAAATTTTTAATATCACCAGTCTTCATGACATGCCTTTTCGAAGGAAGCATGAGAATAGAGTGTTATTGAAATCCTTTGGAAGCTCGTTGACAAAACTTAATGTCTCTAAAACTTACGTTCCACCGCAGAATTCTACCGAGGTTTCTCTCCATCTCGGATTCGACACGTCTTTTATAATATCTTCGACATCAAATCCTATTGATACGACTCTAACTGGATCCGGATAAACTTCACCGAACACAGCTCGGAGACCATGAATGGCCTTGGCAACTGGTAATGGAACATCTTTTGAATATACTTTGAGGTTTTTTTTAATAAATTCGTTGGAGATTTTTTCAATGAGAGCAAGTTCCTCATTCGAAACACCTTTCTATAAATTTGATACATTAACATCTGAGATAATATTTGTAATCATCTAACAAGTATTATTCACATACTTTAAAAGAGAAGTCGAATCTAAGCTTTTCGGGCGCGACCAGAGAACCTTTTTGATCTATCGTATCCCCCAATACTTCGCGTAGTGCGTAATTCAGAATATGCGTGCCAGTATGGTTGTTTCGAAGTGGCCACCGACGGAGCTATCACAGACATGTCTAGTTTAGCGAAAAACCTCAATTGCAAGACACATTATATTATTATTTCCTTACTTCATCGTATGTCGCTACAATTTCGTTGCTAACAGATAGGTCGCCATATTTGAGATATCCGATGTGCAATATATAGCCAGCGAATATTTGGACATTTTCTACTACAAACTCGGCTTGACCGTCAATAGTGATAGAACCTGTGTCATATTGTTGTCCGCCTTGTTCAGCATAGAAATTTGTGCGATCCAGTATTATACCGAAACTTTTTTCGGGTGGAATGTCGGTGGTGCTTTGGGGAAATGAATGATTGTAGTATATGGCTTTGATTGTGGCGTTAATGTTACCAGATTCTATAAATAAGAGTATGGAGGTTATGCTTGACGATGTATTCCGATATTATTTCATTTTTATCAAACATCAAAAAAATACACACGATATTTATATTGATCGTCCGTTATTGGTAAGTTTTCGATTTTCGCAATGTCGTGTACATCCAATGCTACAATTTCTCGACCATCAGTTCCATCATTTCGAGCTCGGCGACTCAAATCCCTGGCTCTCTCTTGTTCTGCTAAGAATTCCTGTTCATCAACACCAAGACTATTTTCTTCGGCCATTAATCGAGTCAAATCAACCGGAAATCCATAAGTGTCATATAATCTCCAAACATCAGCGCCAGGAAGCACTCTTGATCCGGCTTGCTTGGCCTTCTGTAAATATGAATCAAAGAGTTTTTCACCACGATCTAGGGTACGCGAAAATGATTCTTCTTCCTCATTAAGAATTTCTTTAACGTCAGAGACTCTTTTCGCTATTTCGGGGAAGGCCTCACCCTTAGGTGGACAGAAGAGTTATTGTAAATAACATCAATAATTTGTAACCAAGTAATTTATTGGTACATACCATCTCCGTAACAACTGTATCCACCAGACTCGAAAAGAAACAACCAATTTGCACATTAAATTTCTTTCTGGCATAGCGGGCACCACGCCTCAATATTCTTCTTAACACGTAACCGCGTCCCTCATTGCTTGGAACACCGCCATCTGATATTGCGAAAGTCAATGTTCTCACGTGATCCGCTATAACCCTGTAGGCCATGTCCAGACCGTCGGTATCTTCGGAACCCACTTTTCCTGTGTAGGGTCTGACCCCAGTCAACTCTTGAATCTTGTTAAATATGGGTACGAAAATGTCCGTGTCATAATTCGAGTGTTTATTTTGCAAAGCTGATACAATTCTCTCCAATCCCATTCCAGTGTCAATATGTTTGCTAGGAAGCGGACGCAACGAACCGTTCTGTTCGCGATTGAATTGCATAAACACGAGATTCCAAATCTCAACAACGTTCGGATCGTCTTTATTCACTAAATGTGCCGCGTCGCGGCCTCCTATACGGTCAAAATGGATTTCAGAGCATGGTCCGCAAGGTCCGGTTTCTCCCATTTCTGTTTTTCAGGTCCGGAAGATCAAGGTTAGTTGAAAACTATCATTCTGATACTGTGACACGGCATTTGCTCACCCCAAAAATTATCCTTCGAATTCCCAGGGATCAACATTCTCTCCTCCACGCCAACATCTATCCAGAGGTTTTTTGCCTCGGTGTCAGCCGGTAAACCCATCTTTTCATCCCCTTCAAAATACGTGACATAAAGTTGATCCTTAGGGAGACCGTATACTTTTGTTAGGAGTTCCCATGCCATTGCAATCGCTTCTTTCTAATGATGTATAATTGATGTAAATTCACGTGTCAAAATGGGACCATCGGTAGAGGAAAATTTTTTCGCATCTCACCTTGAAATAATCGCCAAATGACCAATTCCCCAACATTTCAAAAAATGTGTGATGATAAACATCTTTTCCTACATCCTCTAGATCATTATGCTTTCCACCTTTAAGCGCCATGGTTTTCGTGAATATATAATGATTAACGCGCAAATCAGATCATAACAACAAAGTCTTACCTGCACGAATACATTTTTGACTGTTGGCTGCTCTCTTCAGCTTTCCAAGCTCAGAATTTGGATCAGCCGTCCCCAAAAATATGGCTTTAAATTGGTTCATTCCAGCATTCGCAAATAGTAAAGTCGGGTCTTCGAAAGGAATTGTGGAGGAAGAAGTTACGTGTTTATGATCTTTCGACTCGAAGTATGAAATGAAGGTCGAGCGAACTTTGGAAGCAGACCATTGCGTCGTTTGCGCCATTTTTGAAGAGTAAGAGAATCTCGAGTAATGTAAAATGCAACTTCGGAATTTTGGCAAAAGTAAGCGCGAACGATTGCTGAGCATCATACTGTCGCTATTTGTAACCGGTGGCTATGTAACCGGCCAACGTATTTTGGGGCCCTTTTTCACCACAATGGCGCAGTATTCTAATAAGTAGGGACCTTTGTTATGTATAACGACCCGTTACAAAAAGCCATGACTCATAGTTGCTCACTCTTTTGCGCCACGCAATGAATAAATCTTATGTGTAGCACATGTCGATCATATAATGGAATTATATTCGATAGAACAAAATCACGAAGAATTGGACCTGAAACTCGTGCAAGCAATAAAAAATGGTAATACCGTAGCAGTCAAACAGCTTTTGCAGGAGGGAGCCGATGTATGGTATAAGGACGAAAAGGTAATTAAAATAGATCGTTGGCCAATATTGACATAACTTTTCTTATCATGATTTGCGATTTTCGGTGTAGGGAGTCAGTCCCTTGCATGTGGCCTGCGAAATTGGTAATTGCGATATCGTCAGAATGTTGCTTCAAGAAGGACACCCGTGGAATGCCATTAACGTAGACGGAGAAACTGCCGGAGACTATGCCAAACGCAATGGTCACACCGAGGTTTATGAGATGCTCGTTGAAGAGGGTTGTCGAGTCGAATTGATTTTTGGTAGGTATTTTTGATTCGTGGATATCAGACATTCAGATCAATACTTATACAGTACATTCCAACTTCATTTTAAGGAGTGCTTGGCGCAAAAGAGAAAAATGAACAACCCTCAAACATCCAGTATTTATCGCAGCCACTAAAATATTCAGAGGATGGCACAAAACTATTGGATTTTGAAAACAATGGTGTCATGATGGGTTGGGAAAGGCCATTGATGGAAAGGCACGCGAAATTACTTTGCCCGCGAGAAGGCTTGGACATCCTGAACATTGGTTTTGGTCTCGGATTAGTTGATACAGCCATTGAAGAATATAAACCACGTTCGCACACAATCGTCGAAGCTCATCCAGATGTTTATAATCATATGATAGAAAAAGGCTGGGATAAGAAACCAGGTGTTAAAATAGTTTTTGGAAGGTGGCAAGACATTCTAGATCAGCTTGAAACATATGATGGCATATTTTTTGATACGTTCGGCGAATTTTATCAAGACTTACGCGAGTTTCACGAAGAAGTAGTCAATTTTCTTAGGTCCGACGGAACATATTCATTTTTTAATGGTTTAGGTGCAACAAATGCATTTTTCCATGATGTTTATTGTCGGATTGCCGAAATGCACCTGGCCGGAGTGGGACTACAAACGGAATTTATAGAGATCCCCATGGATCCTTCTGAGGAAGGAATTTGGGAAGGCATCAAGAGTCGTTATTGGACATTGGATACCTATCGGTTGCCAATTTGTCGATTCTTGTCGTGACGAATAAAATAACTGTTCACGTGAGTGAGCGCATGATGTCATCGAATGATGTAATCATGATACAGTTCTTGCAACGTATAACCCGTAGGCATAGGCATATAATCTGCTGTCTATCCTCAATCTTTCATCGTATTGACGTTGCAATTCTGTGAACATTGATTTCGTTATTAAAAAATAACGCTGGAAATATCGACCAATGGAATGACATCTCACCTCGCAATTCTTCATATAACTTCCTGAGAGGAACCTTTATCACTTGCAAGCTCCACTCATCTTCCTCCAAAAGTTGTGTGGGAGCAATATTATCTGTTGAATTGGGGTCGATCTAGTTCGAGAGATATTGTTTATACAATGTGTTAAACATTGACGATTCAAAAAATTTCAAATTGAAAAGATATTCACCTCAATGTCAACAATCTTGGTCATTGAATTCGTTATCCCTGGCTCGTAGCAGATGGGGTCTGACACGTTTTTAACCTTGCCAGTGTAACCCGTTTCCTCACGAAGTTCGCGTAGTGCCGCAGTCTCCACGGTTTCTTGAGCGTCAATTAAGCCTTTGAGGTACAAGTATTTTTCAATAAGAGGTAATTTTATTATGTAAAATATCATGTTACACAGTACAAACATACCCGAAGGAAATTCTATGCAATATTTTCCAATTGCGGGTCTATATTGAACTACCAGAACTATTAAAGGTGTTGGATTTTGACCTCGAATGATCCCATGTATATCGATTGCTTATTTGTTGTTCGTTTAGAATCGTGTTAGGAAAAGTCACAATTACTTGTGTTCCCTATAAAAAATCTGAACCATGCATACCATCAATCTCTCTCTTCTTGCTATTCGTGGCGAGGACAGTCTTCCTTTTACAAACCTCCCACTTCCTCGCGACTTTTGCTTTTGGGTCGATATATTCGATTTCCTCCAACTCTAACCACCGACCAGAACCAAGTTTCCTATACGCGTCTGGATTTTTTTTTTCAACTGGTGCAAGATCAAGTTCGTAACCGATTTTTTCTGAAGCCATTTTATGCGCATAAAATATACATTATGGTTTTTTTGTAACTGCCGCATTGTATTGGATTTTCCTTCGGGCCTCCTGTAATTTTTTCAAATTGCCTTAAATATATCCGGAAATATACGTAACGTTCATACGTGTATACCAACACGTAATTTACAATATATACAGCAAACCATTTTTTTTCTTTCGCCTTAATATTGAACCCCGATTGTTTCAATGGCCGAACTTGTTCCGTATATAGTTTGGGAGAAGGTAGTTTTAGAAAGCTTCACTTATATTCCCGCCTATTCCATCGTAAACTGATTTTTATTGAAAAACAGCAAGAAGGTTACTTATGTGCTCAACACTGCATAAATTCTCTTCTACAAGGTGATTAATTCATTTTTCTTTCCGATACATAATCAAATTCATAATTTTTTGAGCTAATTGTTAAATACAAAAAAAAAAAAAAAAAAAACTCTTTCTAGGGGAATATTTCACGGCCGTGGATTTAGGTGAAATTGCCAACAATTTGGACATGGCCGAGCAAGCTGCGTTGCGAGAAGGAACCGTCGATTTAAACGAGAACTTACACAATGAGATTCCACAAAAAAGTCAAAATATGGATGATTCCGGTATTCTCGAATTCCTTTTAAAATGCTTCGATGCAAAATTTTCCTTGTTCACTTGACACTAAATTTGAAATTTATATTTGAAGGATTCTTTTCGCTGCAAGTAAGCAATTACAATTATGCCTGTCTTGTGTGTCAGAGGACAAGGGCAATTGAATTTTTTTGAAAAAGTTGCTTCAAGTCACAGTATCAGCATTTCATTTATCTCGTCTCTATGGATGTATCTAACGAAACTGTAATATTTATCGTGCAATAGGTACTTAGTCACGCGTTAAAAGTTTGGAATCTTGGTAAATACACGTTTCTCATAGTTGCTATTATGTGTATAACTATTAATGTAAACTATGGAAATAATCACGAAACAGAGTTGATTCCTATTGGCTCCGAAGAGGGCCGTAACTCGAGGGATCTTCCAGAGTGAGAAAAAATTTTTTATCATAGGTTATTCATTCAGAGAATATTTATTTATGATTTTCATTCCCTAACAGAAATGAAATCGCATACATATGTAACCTTGCCGAGCATTGGTAATTTTCATTTAAACTTTAATTATTTCTTTAGTGTAGATTTACCCTTAGCTAATTAACTTGTTCAAAGGTTTACTCTTCGAAGATTTGGCGGGAACGCTTCGCGCTGGTACAATTTGGATTCTCTATTAAGTGGACCCAAGTTTATTAGCCAAACTTATCTGGGAATGTTGCTCAGTCAACTTGAAAATGAAGGTAAAATGGGTGGGGTCAAGATGTATCGAGCATAGTGCGGAATCACTAATTATACAGCACATTTACTCGGGATAATAAAGGTTATAGCATATTTATAGTAAGAGGCATTCTTCCAACAAGTCAAGCTGACGAATTTGCCGTGATCCTTCCCGATCCTAGCACACAACATTCTCAGAGTTCACATAATATAGATTTCGACGCGGATCTCGAGGCGGCCATCGCGGAAAGTTTGAAATTTAATGAAATTGGTGGCTCGGTTACTACAGAGAATTCGAAATCGACAGCTGATGCAGATAACGATTCGGCTAAGACTATTACGGAGAATTCAACAGTAAAGGAAAATAGTGACCCGACCCTAATGGGGAATTCAAACTCAACAGTGGAAGAAGCTATCAACCCTGTCACTAAGAAAGAGATTTGCGATCCTGTTTCCACGGAGAATTCAACGGTGAAAGAAATCAGTGATCCGGTCAACGCTGGGAATTCGACAACAAAAGAGAAAACTGCCGAGAATGAACTGTCTCTCAACGATTTGAGAGCAAGAAGACTGGCAAAATTTGGAGGATGACGGAGATCTACATTGTAATATTTTCGTTTTATGTTTTACCTATACCAAACATATAGATTTATTTAATTTGTTGATTAAAACGGGAAGCGGGTCTGTTGTTCTATCGTTATTCTTTAATTTATTAATTAAATGGTTTGAATCGATTCACTTCATTAATACAATTTTAGCATAATAAATATTGACTTTTGAAATGCAAATTCGGTTAAAATTTATTTGTTTAGTGATATAAAGGAATTGAAATAGAAAATAAAGAAAGAAAGGAAAAGTAATCACTGGATTTGTTAAAATAATAGTTTTGGATTCGATCTCTATGTAAAAGAAATTTAAACTTGGTTTCTTTTGATTGAAATGATTGAAATTTAAAGTTTATGTTAAAAAAATATTTAAAATTTTCTAAATATAAAGGACTTTTATTAAAAAATAAATAATGAATTTAATTATTTGATTTCTTTTTTAAAAAAAGTATATTACCTTAAACTTGAAAAGAAATAGAATTTTGAATTTCCTAATAATTTATGGATATAATTATTTTTAGTTTGTTATTATTTTATAAACTCTTTGCCAGGTATGCTTTATTAAACATTTGTGGACTGTAAAGTTAATTCTCTAATTAACATCATTGCCTACTGCAGATTATTTTAGTTTGTCATAACTTTATCTGATTTGAATATACAGTATCTATTTATTTTAAAATTAAATTATTAGGCTTATAGTAAATATTATTTACAGTATAAATACTTTTTTTTTTTTTTTTTTTCTAATATTCATCTATTCATTGAAGATCTTTATCATAATGTTAGAATGGCGCAAAATGAAGTCACATGATAAATACATGCCTCCTAAAAAATAAATATCAGTCAAATTTCAAAAATTCTTTGGTTTATTATTGTCGACGATGGCTACAGGTAAGCTGGATCTGTGAAGCGCCTCTTATTAATTCGTTTTTTTCTTGACTTATAAATTTCGCTTTTGTCGGTTAAACAGAGGACGTTATTCAAACACGACGTCTTACAACATATACTGCACCCAATGAGGTGTTTGAAGATCTTATAGATAACGATAGTGAGGACATTGATCCATTCAAGGAACGTACTGGATCACGTCGCATTCTTGACAGACAAAGTGAATACCATGCACGAAGATTGAACCGAGCGATCTCACCGGACAGGAATGATCCCTTTGCGGAAAGCGAGGATAAGGGCGAATCACGAACATATGCCGACGTTATGCGAGAAGCAGAGATCGAGAAGGAGGAACAACGAATCAAGCGTAAGATTGAGGAAAAGAGAAAAGAAGAACAGCAAAAGGCTAAAGAGGCAACATCAACATCAGAACAGGCCACAACTCAGAAGAAACGAAGATGGGACATGGAAACGCCTGTGGAAACAAAATCAGAGTGGTCAAAATCCGATGATGAAGCAGCACAAGTTGGCAAGAGTAGGTGGGACGAAACACCAAGAGCAACAGACGAAGAAATGGACACACCTCGCAAAAGAAGTAGATGGGATGTTACTCCCCAAGTTTCTGCTAAGAAGTCTCGTTGGGACGAAACGCCTACGCATCCAACAGTGCAGATTGGAGTTACCCCTGTTGGAAATTTTGGGCTCCTTACACCAACTCCAGGGCACCTTGTTTCCATGACTCCCGAAGGTAAGCATGTCTTTGACTTCTAATATCCGTGTGATCTTCTATTAAATAAGTTTATTAACGAAAAACAGCTCAGCGATGGGAGAAAGATTTGGATGCACGAAACAGGCCTCTTACTGATGAAGAGCTTGATGCTATGTTCCCTCCGACCGGCTATAAAATATTGGATCCTCCATCTGGCTATGTTCCTATTCGTACCCCCGCACGCAAATTAATGGCCACACCAACTCCTATGGCAGCCGATGGTTTTGTAATGTTAGAAGAAGATCGAAACCAAACCTATGACCTGCCCGCTGAAATTCCAGGCGTAGGAAATTTGCCGTTTTTCAAACAAGAAGATATGCAACATTTTGGCAAACTGCTAGATGATAAGGACGAGAGCGAATTATCCGTTGAGGAATTGAAGGAACGCAAAATTATGCGTTTACTTCTTAAGATTAAGAATGGAACACCACCAATGAGGAAAACAGCACTTCGACAAATTACCGATAAAGCTAGGGATTTTGGAGCGGGTCCTCTCTTCAATCAAATACTTCCTCTTTTGATGTCTCAAAATCTCGAAGATCAGGAACGACATTTACTGGTAAAAGTTATTGACCGTATACTTTACAAGCTTGATGCCCTAGTTCGTCCTTACGTCCATAAGATCCTTGTGGTTATTGAACCACTCTTAATTGATGAGGATTATTTTGCGAGATGCGGTAAGTATTATCTTCCTGCCACATTATGTCTTACATACTAGTCTTATATACAAAAATTTTTTTTTCTTTCTACAGAGGGTCGCGAAATCATCAGTAATTTGAGTAAAGCGGCTGGGCTACCTACTATGATTGCCACGATGAGGCCAGGTAAACATTACTCAAACTCAAATTTAAAATGTATTTAAATTTTATTGATAAATTTTTATTTTCCATTAGATATTGACCATGTTGACGAATATGTTCGTAATACTACGGCTCGTGCCTTCTCGGTCGTTGCATCTGCACATGGTATTCCCGCACTTCTTCCATTCTTAAAGGCTGTATGTAAGAGCAAAAAATCGTGGCAGGCTCGACATACTGGTATTAAAATTGTTCAACAAATTGCCATATTGATGGGATGCGCCGTGTTACCACACTTGAAAAATCTGGTTGAGGCCATTGCTCATGGCCTTGAGGTATGAATATAAAGCTGTCGCTTGTCTATATGTTTCATAAGTTAACGCGCGTTCTATTTCGTTTTTTTTTATGTAGGATGAACAACAAAAAGTTCGTACAATCACTGCACTTGCGATTGCCGCATTAGCAGAAGCCGCTGCACCATATGGTATTGAATCATTCGACTCAGTCCTCAAGCCTTTATGGACTGGTATTCGTAAACATCGTGGCAAGGGGCTTGCGGCATTTTTGAAAGCCATAGGCTACATCATTCCTTTAATGGATGCCGAATATGCTAATTATTATACGAAAGAAGTCATGATAATTTTGATTCGTGAGTTTCAATCACCTGACGAAGAAATGAAGAAGATTGTTCTTAAAGTCGTTAAGCAATGTGCTGCAACTGATGGTGTTCAGCCACAATACATCAAAGAAGAGATCCTTCCTGAATTTTTCAAAAATTTCTGGGTTCGTCGCATGGCTCTTGATCGTCGAAACTATCGCCAAGTTGTAGAAACAACAGTCGAATTGGCACAAAAGGTCGGTGTCACTGAAATTGTTGGCAGAATTGTTGAAGACTTGAAAGATGAATCAGAACCATATAGAAAGATGGTTATGGAAACAGTTGAGAAAGTTGTTAGTCAACTGGGAGCTGCTGATATTGACACTCGTTTGGAGGAGGTTCTTATTGATGGCATCCTTTATGCGTTCCAAGAACAAACAGTGGAGGATATTGTGATGTTAAACGGCTTTGGTACTGTTGTGAACGCTTTGGGACTTCGTGTGAAACCATATTTACAACAGATTACTTCAACTATTTTGTGGCGTCTCAATAACAAATCGGCGAAAGTTCGTCAACAAGCAGCTGATCTAATTTCTCGTATAGCAGTGGTCATGAAAACTTGCGGTGAAGAAAAACTGATGGGTCATCTTGGTGTTGTACTTTATGAATACTTGGGGGAAGAATATCCGGAGGTTCTAGGGTCTATATTAGGAGGTTTAAAGTCCATTGTGAATGTTATCGGAATGTCTAGCATGACACCGCCTATCAAGGATCTACTTCCTCGTCTGACACCCATCCTGAAGAATCGGCATGAGGTGATGTGTCAACCTAATTTGTTGAATTATTATTACGCTTTTCTTATTATTTATTCTACTCTTAATTCATATACATATTAAATAACAGAAAGTCCAAGAATCATGTATTGATCTTGTTGGCCGTATAGCAGATCGTGGTGCAGAATTTGTTAGTGCGCGTGAATGGATGCGTATCTGTTTTGAACTGCTGGACATGCTTAAGGCACACAAAAAAGGTATTCGTCGAGCCACGGTAAACACATTTGGCTACATTGCCAAAGCAATTGGTCCACAGGATGTTTTAGCAACTTTGCTTAATAATTTAAAGGTTCAAGAACGTCAAAACAGAGTTTGCACTACCGTTGCTATTGGTAGGTCTTCTGAATGTTTTAGTGCATTACATTGATGTTTTTAGATATTTACTTATTAATTTTGTTATTTGTATTAATAGCTATTGTGGCAGAAACTTGTGCACCATTCACTGTCCTACCCGCTTTAATGAATGAATATCGTGTGCCAGAATTGAACGTACAAAATGGCGTGTTGAAAGTGTGTATTTTACATCCTTACTGAATTTAAGTTTTAGGTTTCATCACTTTACTCTAAATGCAATTTTATGTCCAGTCACTTTCATTCTTGTTCGAATATATTGGTGAAATGGGCAAAGACTATATTTATGCCGTCACGCCTTTATTGGAAGATGCGTTGATGGACCGAGATCTAGTTCACAGGCAAACCGCATGTACTACCGTAAAACGTATGTTAAACTTACCGGTCGCCTTCAATCATTGCAAAAGACGTTTACTTAAAATCTTTATTTACTTACTCTTATATTTAGATATGTCACTCGGTGTTTTCGGCCTTGGTTGTGAAGATGCTCTTCTTCATCTTCTGAACTACGTCTGGCCAAATATTTTCGAAACATCCCCTCACGTTATAAACGCGGTTATGGAAGCGATTGAAGGATTAAGGGTTGCAATTGGTCCTGCAACAGTTTTGCAATACGTCTTGCAGGTTTGTAATCTGTATTGGTGTCAAATTTTATATGGATATGGCTTAACTTTTATTGTCATCTTTTGCAGGGTTTATTCCATCCTGCTCGCAAAGTACGCGAAATTTATTGGAAGATATATAATAATTTATATATTGGTGCTCAGGATGCCTTGATTCCATACTATCCTCGTATAGAAGATGATGAAAGGAACAATTATGAACGTTATGAATTATCGATGTGGCTCTGATTCAGATTGTGAAAAATGTAATATTTCTTTAGTTATTTACATATATCTCTTTTATTTTAAATTCTTATTTTTTTTTATCTTTCCGACAGAAATATATTCTATTAGAATAATGTATTAAAATATTTTTGGAGATTTTTCTCTAATAAAAGATGTTTTATTATGGAAAAACTGGTGTATGAATCGGTTAATTGATAATTTTTTTTAAGATAAAATAAAAAAAACTCGTAATTTTATTTTAGAGAGTGGACAACCATTTTTTTTTTAGACTTAAAAATTTTTCGTGTAACTGCTAATAAAATTTACTTTTAGACAAGAAGCAAAAAATATTCCTATCATATTATCGCAGCTAATGTTGGTTGCAAAAAAAGTGCCGTAAATGCTTTAGTGGAACGGAACCACAAACACATTATTATTGGCGAAAAGGAAAAGTTAACAAGTTACATTACCTATTCCAAACCATTTCTTACAAAACTGACTTACCTTAATGCCTTATAAAGATTAGATTTCAAAATTTTGATATAATTTACAAGAATGGAATGCCAAGTACATTTTTATAACTATTAATTATATCTATATACAGTATATTGAAGATGTTTTTTGTAATTTAAACATTGGTCCTTTTATTTTTTTTCATGTTTTGATTATAGGTAAATAAATACATTATTATTTTTATTTTTAAAATTACAATATATTATTTTGATATCTTTTTTTTTTTTTTTTTTTAAACAGCAACTGGTATTAGATGCAAGCTTTATTTAAGAATTAACTTAATTTTAATGGATAATTAAATTCTACAGCAGTTACATCAATCATCTTCTACAAGCCATATATTTTTATATCTATGTAGCTTAATGATGACCTATCGTGGTTTATCCTAGATAGACCTGCAACCACTCTGTGAGTGGACAGACCTAGCTAGGGGCCGGATGATCAATACACAGTCATAAATGGCTAGTCTAGGTTAGTTAGCATTGGGCTTTACAAATTTCTATTGTTTCACTAAGCTAGTCTATAGTTAATTGTACTCGATAGGATTTAACACCCTCCAATATTCCCTAGATATTATTCGCTCAGACCTCGGAAGGGAGTACTTTCCTTTTTTGTCACCACCTGTGGCATCGGATCAATCCCTATTGACTGATTTTCAATTAAGCGGAGCACCAGATTGAAATATCCTGAGTTAGGAGAGTGGGGGTCCTGAAGATTACCAGATCAAAGTGGGCTTGGGGTGTTTTTGTGGGAGGTTAAACCAGAAGCCTTTCTTCATGCAATCCTTCCGGTAGTATGACCGTGGATCTCAGCCTCTGATCGACGGAAGGCCAGAAGTCCCATCTTCATGCAGCCTAACCTGTTTAGACCTTGTTTCAGATGATTGGGTATGACTTTCACAGGATAATCGGTCAAACCTGATCAGAAGAATAATTTTTGATTTTGGTCCTTAAGTGATATTGAACTACAGACCTTGTGATTGCAACCTGGGAGCACTACCACTGTGCTATTGACCCACAAGTATTATTATTATTTTGATATCTTTATTGAAATATTAAATAAATATATATAATATTATATTGATTAATTATATAAAGATTAATGAAAAACCAAAAAACTCTTTTTGCTGATTCTTTGATCGCATACAAAAAAGATGTTTACAAGAAGTTTTATACTTCTAAGCTAATAAAGTCTTTTCACTTTCCTTAAACCAACTTGAAGAAACTTTAAGAGTCATCAATTACTTCTCCCCCTCTTGCTTACTATCCTCTTCAAACAAAAACTTGATCTCTAGTAATCATAAAGGTCAAGAAAAACCTTTCCTATCAATAACAAAAAAGTTCTGAAAAGAAGAAGAACTAATGTACCATCATCTCATACTATAGAGAAATATCACAGAAGTTTGTAAATGATAAGAAACAAATTTTCCACTCTCTTGTCATATATTAACTTCTCATAGTACTCATTCTGGATTTTTTTTCTGAGAAATTTTGTCTACCTCAGTTTGATCCTGAATTTTGAGTAGCACAAAGTTTTTCATACCATGATTGGACAAATAGAATTCACATTAGTAAAAGAATATAAACAAGCTCCCATTGATCACCTCACATGTCTGAATGCATTTCCTCAACTCTATAAGAACCTAGGGTCTACCATAAGTCATTGGATCTGATGCAGATGGATATAGAACACCTCTCTGTTTATATCATTGGTTCCTTTAAAAAAGAGTCTGTTTGATTATAATAAAGGTCACAAGATATCACAACTGGATTTTATGGTTATAGTTACATATTCCTGGATAAAGATAGGTCCCTAAAAGGACAAAAGTCAAATGTCCCTTACTAGGAAACATTAAAAATTTTAAATTAATAACTATAAAAAAACTATCCAAAATTGTTCTCTATTATCCAAATCATTGATTTATAACATTTTCTGACTTTTGTCCCTATTTAAGTGAAGAGCTATGAATTTTGTTCCTCAAAAAGGAAAATAAGTGATCTGCGAAATTTTATATGTTAAATATTTTAGGGATCCATCATTACTCCTGGGTACTAAATAGATTCCTTCTCTAGTTCTGTTGAATAGGTAAAAATTCGAAACAAAGTTCCTATAACAAAGTTGGATTTTATGACAGGTGAGATATAAAGGGGTCAAATTTTTTTTTTTGGGGATGACATGTTTCACCTGAACACATGCATTAGGGAGAATCTAGGAGAATCAATGAATCTTCTTTCTTGGTATGTGAATTAGATTGATTCGAGTAATTCTTCCTGACAACAAGCTATCCTATAGATTGAAGTAGTTAGAATTTTATAACATGGAGATATTAAAAGCAACTAAGAAATAGGCAATATGTCCTCAACTGACAAAGCCCTTGAAGAGTAACCAGTTTATGGAATCAAGGTGATAATAATAGCATAAAATTTTAACTCTTATAAACAATTCTAGAAATGTTTTATTAGTAATTATTTCTTGTATTTACATTTTGCCCTAACTTGAAACTTTAATAAAACAAGGTTAAGTTACTATTTCAAAAAAAAAAAAAAAAGATTAATGAAAAACTCTTTTCACCAATCTTTTGATCACATACAAAAAAGATGTTCACAAGAAGTTTTTGTACTTCTTTGCTAATGAAGTTTAATACTTTTCTTAAAACAACTTGAAATATGACTTCAAGAGTCACCTTTATCCTTTCTTTTTTATTTACAAATCTTTTTACTCAAAACTTGACTTCTAGCAATCAAGAAAAATCAAGTAACACCTTTGATACCAATGGCAAAAAAGTTTTCAAAGAAAGAAAAACTAATTATAAAGTATCTGAAGGTCTATCTAATCTTTGAAATAAGAGGTTTATAAAAGTTTTTTGCAGTAAAAAGGCTTATTTTCTTCCTTTTTGACTATCTTTATCAGGAAATTTTTTTGACAAAGATCTTTGAAAATTTTGGGATATAAAACTCTAGAGGCACTCTGTCATTATTAGAAGTTTCCAGAGCAAAGATTTATATATAGAACTCTGAAAATTTTTGAATATTTTAAATTTTAATAAAATAAATTCATATTATTATTAAAATATTTATTTTTAAAAATTTATTTATTGAAAATCACTTTTTTTATATATTTTTATTAATTATTTACATTTATATCACTTATTGCAGAAGTAAACCTTTCTATTTTTACATTTTCCAGTTACAATCCCAGATCATTTTTATTATTTTCTATTTCATCCAGAGTATTTTGAAAATCAATGTCTTTCTGCTCATGTATTTCTTGATCTTCATTGCTTGAATTGCCTTCCATAAATCTGATTTTCTTTTTAATTTTTTCCTAAAATATATTATTAGTAAACAAATAACTTTATAATACTTCAAAGAATTTTAAAACTTATCTTATTTTTTTCTATTTTGTTTTTAATTAACATTTTATTAATTAAAATACTTTCATTACTCGAATTTAAAATTATTTAGTACAGTATATTGCGATAGCGAATATGACTTATTTTTTGAAGATATCCTCTTTTGACCAGACTTTTTTGAGAATGCATGTCATTACACTTTAGTTTTCCTCCCTAGGACAGATATAAAGATTTTCAAAGCACTCTTGAGTTTTTTGCGAATTTTTTCAGATCGTAATTTCGATAGCAGTTGCATTTGTATTGATTGTATCCAGGAAGTTTTTGCCAAAGACTGAAAATATGGCATCCCAGATTTTTGAAGTCATGGTCTCTCGAAGCAATCAATGTTGTCTCACAAGCTATTAAATAAATAATATTATTAATAAATTTATTTATATTATCAATAATTGCAATAATTACTGCTTGGTGAATATGCTTTTCATAATGTATCTTCCAATATTTTCTTGTAAGATCTTTGAAGAACTTTGAATATTCTCACTGAAAATATTTCTCTGTATGATGGCAAAAATCTTCAGAATTTATGTATATTTTTTCAAAGAAGACTTTTTTCATAATACTCTTGACTGCACACTATTATAGAATTTAAAATGTTATTAAAGTTCTTTGAAGATTAAAAATTAAACCTTATCTCAATAAAATCCTGTTCAGTGATTAAATATTGACTTATATGAATTTCATTTTCTAGGTAGGTAACCTTATTCTCAATAGCTTTTTGATATTTTAATAATTGATCAATTTTTTTACAAGACTTTTGTGGAATTTCAAAAGCCTTCGATTACTATATTAGAAACCAAATATACAAATTAGTATTTATTTAAATAGTTACATCTTTTTAATATACCTAAAGATTCTTCGAGCAACCTTCTAGTAGATAAAGATTCTAGAATATAACTAGGAGATCTTAATCACTTCTGGGATAGCTCTGTTTCTGTTTCGGCTTGAGGTGTTGGTCTTCATTCTTTAGCTTAACCCAAGATACCAGGAGTATTTTTGAGCTTTTTGAAGGGCCTTGAAGTACTTTCTTTTATTTTTCTTTTTCCTTTTCACTGAGTTGAAACTGAAATCATTTGTTAAAACATATTATGTACTTTTTTTTCTT